CCCGGGAGGCGGAGCTTGCAGTGAGCTGAGATCTGGCCACTGCACTCCAGCCTGGGCAACAGGGTGAGACTCCGTCTCAAAAAAAAAAAAACAAAAAAACACTATAAAAATAGTGAAAGAGCAAGCCACAAATGAAAAGATACTGAAATGTATGTAATTTATAGACTTGTATGACTCAATAAGAAAAAAGTTAACCTTATTTATAGAAAAATGGGCAAAACTGGCCAGGCTTGGTGGCTCACACCTGTAATCCCAGCACTTTGGGAGGTGGAGGCAGGTGGATCACCTTGAGGTCAGAAGTTCGAGACCAGCCTGACCAAAATGCAGAAACCCCCATCTCTACTAAAAGTACAAAATCAGCTGGGTGTGGCGGCGCATCCCTGTAATCCCAACTACTTGGGAGGCTGAGGCACGAGAATCACTTGAACCCGGGAGGCGGAGGTTGCAGTGAGCCAAGATTACACCATTGTACTGCAGCCTGGGTAACAAGAGCGAAACTCTGTCTCAAAGGAAAAAAAAAGAAAAAGAAAAATGGGCAAAACCAATTAATAGGAACTTTGCAAGAGAAGGAACACAAGTGACCATTAACATGGGAACAAAAATGTATTCCACCTCATTAGTAACTGGGGAAGTGCAAATGAAAATTGCATTGGGATGTCATTTCATAATACAGAATTGGCAAAAAAATTTTAAGGTCAGATATTACCAAGTGTTGGGGAGGTTGTGGAGCTACAGGAACTCTTATACTCATACACTGCTGTTGGTAAGAATATTATCCTCTTTGGGCCAGGTGCAGTGGCTCACGCCTGTAATCCCAGCACTTTGGGAGGCCGAGGCAGGCGGATCACGAGGTCAGGAGATCAAGACCATCCTGGCCAACATGGTGAAACCCCATCTCTACTAAAAATACAAAAATTAGCTGGGCGTGGTGGCACGCACCTGTAATCCCAGCTACTCAGGAGGCTGAGGCAGGAGAAACGCTTGAACCCGGGAGGCAGAGGTTGTGATGAGCCAAGATCGCGCCACTGCACTCCAGCCTGGTGACAGAGTGAGACTCAGTCTCAAAATAATAATAAAAAATAAATAAATAAATAAAACAGAACCACAAACTGGATGTCTTAAAACAAATGGATGCTCTCACTGTTCTGGAAGCTAGAATTCTGAAACCAAGGTGTCAGCAGGCCTGCGCTGTTACAGTTCTAGGAAGAATCCTTCTTTGCTTCTTCCCAGCTTCTGAGGGTGGCCAGCGATCCTTCTGTTTGGGCCTTACAGCTGCATCCCTCCAGACTCTCTGCCTTTGTCATCATACATTCTCTGTGTGTCTGTCTTTACATAGTCTTCCCTCTCAGAAGGACACCTGTCCGATTGGAGTAAGGGCCCACCCTACTCCAGTATGACTTCATTTTAACTAATTACGTCTTCAGCAATCCTGGTTCCAACTAAGGTCACCTTCTAAAGTTAGGACTTCCACTTGCTTTTTAGGGGACACAATTCAATCAATAACAGGGAGATAAGGCCGGGGTTATCTTCCTGTTATTGATTGATAACATCCCTTGCTATTATCTTAATTTTTATTCTTTTATTCTTTTTTAATGAGTTTACTAGGAAATTATTTTAGATGTCTCCTTCTCACTTAGCAAGTGAGTAAATAAAAAGTTTAAATGAACTTAATTTAATGTTTATAAGCCGAGCACTTAGGGAGGCCAAAGCAGGAGGATCGCTTGAGCCCAGTTCAAGGCCAACCTGGGTGACACAGTGAGACACTGTTTCTACAAAAAATTTAAAATTTTCCAGGTGTGGTCGTACACGCCTGTAGTCCCAGCTACTTAGCTGGTGAGGCAGAAGGATCACTTAAGGCCAGAGGCAGAGGTTGCAGTGAGCCATGATCACACCACGGCACTCCAGACTGGACGACAAACAAACAAACAAAAAAAGTAGCAGAAGGATAATGTTTTATCTAATTAGGATTCAAAATTAGCATTCCTTATCATCAAATTGATCACAAATGCTCATCTGTAGCAATCAATCTTAGCTCCAGGGCCATACACAAACGGGTGGTGGGTCAGATTTGGCCTGGGGCCATAATTTGCGGACTGTTGATTTAGACTCAGACCTAGGTACTAGGAATAATAAAAAAACAAGGGAATGAATAATAACATTTAAGGTAGTTTTCGTTCTGTGGGGTGGGGGAAGGAAGGAGGATAGAGTTGGAGAGGAATATACAGGTGGCTTCTGGGCTATTGGTAATATTCTATTTCTTGTCTTGATACTACTGTTCATTTTAATTTTGTTCATTAAACAATACACATTGTTTTACATGCTTTTTATATGTGTGCTATATTTCACGAAAAATAATTTCAACCTCTCTGACTCCTCCCCACTTCTCCACCCTCCCTCCTTCTTACCAAACCAATTATTCCTTATTTTAAAACCGCTTCCCACTTTTACCTCTGATCTCTTCTGGAGTGTAATCCTCTGGGTTGTGCAAGAGCTTTATGTTCTTTTATTAACAAACCTGTTAATCTATTACCAATCTCAGGTCATCCCTTTTTCTTTGTCGTAGTTGCTTTTGCTCTTCTCTCTCCATTCTTTTCCTTAAGCAGACTTTTAAATTTGCCCTTAGAAAGTAAAAAAGAAAGTGGGTTTCCCTTGCTGTTATCTTACTTTATTTTATTCCTTTAGTTTTTCTTTTATGAGTTTACTAGGAAATTATTTTAGATGTCTCCGTTTCACTTAGCAACTGAGTAAGCAGAAAGTTTAAGTGAACTTAATGAAATGGTGGGAGGCCAGGGTGGGAGGATCACATAAGGCCAGGAGTTTGAGACCTGCCTGGGTAACATACCAAGCCCCTGTCTCACAAACAGTTTTAAAAAGTAGTTGGGTATGGTGATGTGCGCCTGTAGTCCCAGCTGCTTGTGAGGCTGAGATGGGAAGATCACTTAGGCCCAGGAATTCAAGGCTGCAGTGAGCCATGGTTGTGCCACTGTACTCCAGCCTGGGTAACAGAGCTGTCTGGAAAAGAAAAAAAAAAAAAAAAAGCACGTAGGAGTTCAAGGCCAGTCTGGGTAAGATGGTGAGACCCCATTTCCATTTAAAAAAACAAAAACAAAAAACAGGCTGGCCGGGTGCGGTGGCTCACACCTGTAATCTCAGCACTTTGGGAGGCCGAGGCGGGTGGATCATGAGGTCAGGGGTTCAAGACCAGCCTGGCCAACATGGTGAAACCTCATCTCTGCTAGAAATACAAAAATTAGCTGGGCATGGTGGTGCACACCTGTAGTCCCAGCTACTCGGGAGGCTGAAGCAGGAGAATCGCTTGAACCTGGGAGGCAGAGGTTGCAGTGAGCTGAGATCACGCCACTGCACTCCAGCCTGGGCGACAGAGCGAGACTCCATCTCAAAAAAAACACACACACATAGCACACACACAAAAATAATGAAATGGGCACAGAGACCTGTCAGTACATTTGAATCAGAATATTTCAGATCAACCTGCAGCAATTTGTGAGACTTCTCGGTTTGTTTATTTAACAGCTCTTTTGAGATGTGATTCACGTACCACACTATTCACTCATTTAAAATATGCAATTCATTGGCTGTTAATATATTCACAGAGTTGTGCAGCCATCACCACAGTCAATTTTAAAACCTTTTAATCATCCCAGAAAGAAACCCCTCAACCCTCCGTTGTCAGCCTCCAACCCCTCCCACTTCCAGCTCGAGGTAACCTCTGATCCTTGTGTCTCTATAGGTTTGCCTATTCTGGACATTTCATGTAAATGGCATCATCTGTGGTCCTTCATGACTGGCTTCTTCCACTTAGCAGAATGTTTTTGGTTCATCCATGTTGTGGTTTATAGCAGTACTTTATTTCTGAACATTATTTCATTGTATGCATGGCTACACCACATTCTGCTTATCTGTTCATCAGCTGATGGACATGTGGGTTGTTGCCACCCTGGCTATTATGAGCGTTCGTTGAACAATTGTTTGTTTTTAGATAATTTCTTTTAAGTGGCATTTAGTCATTGTGGAAAATTTGAAAAATATTAAAGAATATAAATAATATGATAAAATTTACTCATAATCCCGCCACTCAAAAAAAAAAAAGCTTTATTGACATGTTTTCTGTGGGAAAAAAATGCACGTTTATATAATTTATTTTATAACTCTTCATTTCTCTTGAAGATTTGCTTTGCATTTGAACAGGTTTTGTTTGCCAAATCACAGCAAGATTGGCCAACTGCAGTTGTCGTAAATAATTTATAAGTCATTGTGCAGTGGGAGTACAGTGGAGTTATCTGCCATCAGATGGGCATGGGGAAGGTTTAGAGAAAATTTCAGAGGAGGAAACATATATTATAAAAATATGTATGAGGTTCTGATACCCATCAGTAAATAAAATATTGGGTCTTCTAATAAGGTCATTTTGTTCTGTTGTAGGAGGCTGGCAGGATGTACAGTCTTTATCACAGGTGCAAGCCGTGGCATTGGCAAAGCTATTGCATTGAAAGCAGCAAAGGATGGAGCAAATATTGTTATTGCCGCAAAGACCGCCCAGCCACATCCAAAACTTCTAGGCACAATCTATACTGCTGCTGAAGAAAGTGAGTGTGACAGTGCCATTTGATAAAATGTCTTTCTAGTGGTTTCAATACATAGAGAATTTGCTGGAGAGTTTAGATAAAGCTGTTTGAAAGCTACCCTGAAAATAATTGTATCTAGTGAAAGAAGTATTTATGTTGTCACCTTGGGGCAGTGCTTCTTACCATTTTTCTCCTCTAGCACTTTTAAGCAATGTGAGAGATTCCATTTAAAAATCTTATTTCATGGCTTGGCGTGGTGACTCACACCTGTAATTTCAGCACTTTGGGAGGCTGAGGCGGGTGGATCACCTGAAGTCAGGAGTTCGAGACCAGCCTGGCCTACATGGCAGAAACCCCGTCTCTACTAAAAATACAAAAATTAGCTGGGTG